CGGAAAACAAAAAGGAGGGATTTGCGGGGTGGCAAAACAAAAAAAAAAAAAAAAAAAAAAAATTACGCAGAATTTTTGAGAGGCAGCATCGCGTGATTTCTATTAATAACTTACACTACTTTGTAAAGACACATGCCAGATGTTTGATAATCATACAGGTCCTTTTTGGTTAACAACTTTGATTTATTAGATCAACAAAAAGGTCCCATCTAGTAACTTATCAGATAGTCGTATATCAGCGATCTAAGCCTCTTTTTTATTAAGTTGGTTCCAACGAGTGCCAAAGTTTCGAAAAATGTTATATAGTATCAGACACTACTATACAGACTGGAGGAAATCTCCTGACCCGCATACTTTGGAAAATATTCTTTACTACGAATTAATGATAAAATGATCGATTGCAAGGAAACTCCCATTTTGCCAATTAACCCTATGTGATGAGGTGACAATTTGATTATATTTGTAACTTAAATTGTCGTCGCATGATGTCGGGTAAATAACCTGTAAGGGGAATGACTATCAGGGCAGTGTGTCCAAAATTTTGCTGTACATAAATCTGCTCCCGTTAAAAATAAGATGATGTAGTCTCACATGAGCAAAATTAAATAAATAAGAGGTTCGATCTTAGATATCGAACTTAGACTTTGATTTTTCATTGAATAAACTTGTACCTAAAGAGAACGTAGTGGCCCTACTAATTGAGTAGTAGAGGGACGTTGAGAAGTAGGTGCTAAGTGGGGAAACAAAGGACGTAGTATTGTTACATGCGAGTGAAAAAAACACGTTAATAAATAATAAATACAAAAATCGGCTACTAGAATTAAAGTTCCAAGGATTTATTAACCCCTTGTCATATATTGTATTTGCTTTAAAAACTGATCAACGTCACATTATCTTATAGAAACAATGGGCCAAAATATTTTTAGCGTGAGTAAATTTATGCATTGCAGAATTCCGGATACTCTATGTCAGGGAAATGAGTTTATACTGTTTCACTGCATAAATCGTCATAAGAATTTTGTGCATTACAAATTCTTTAAAAACTGGCTTATGGAAATACTGTATTTCAATCATTAACCACAACTTTACACCATTGTCATACACCTCTGTACTTTACAAAATGGATGTATTAATTCCTAATAATTATGTACATATTACTGGTGGTAAAGATTTGGAAATTACAACAGGTATTCCTTGTAAGATAACAAATGATGGACATTATTTAGATAACGGAGGAGGAACTTTCGGCTCATATGTTACTCTAAGTGGAAATTCTTATGACCGAAATGATCCCAATTATTCAAATCAAATATGGTTTATTGTAGAATCATCAAATTTTGGAAAATATAGAATTTCCAGTAATGGAAATTATTTAGATACTTTTGGAGGAGAAAATGCATCAGAATGTCGTATGAGTTATGAGAATCATTGTGATAATCCTTATTATTCAAGGCAGCTATGGACTTTTTTAAATCAAAATATTTCAGAATATGAAAAAGTACAAATACAAAACCTTTCGAATAAATGTTACTTAGATAATTGGGCTAATCAATATTCAATTGTTCGTTTTTCTTCTTATTTTAACAAACCAACTGATTCTTTTTATTCAAGACAGTTATGGAAATTTGAAATTGCTGATTATAAACTTGTAGCTGAGATTAAAGCTTTTAAATATGACAAGAAAATTAATGATTTAGATTCATATACAACTAAAGTTTCTTCTACTATTTTTGCTTCAAGAAATCAATCGCATAGTGGTTCTTGTAAGATAGAACTTACTTTATCTGAGAAAACGCATAATATCACATCTTGGTCTTTTAATAAAAGCAAAGAAATAGCTTTTTTGAATAAACTTGATGTTGATATAAAAGCAGAATATGCAGGAGTTAAAGGAAATTTACCTGAAGTTATAGAGTGGGATAATCAAACCAAATCTTTAGAAACTATTAAAAAAATCAAACTAGACGAAACTAATGTTTCTGGAAAATATTCAATGGAAATTCAAAATAAAGAAGAGGTTGAAGTTAAAATAATTTGGCACAAGATTAATTTAGATGTTCAATTTACTGCAACGACAAAAATTAAGGGCTTTTCAGATCGTCTAAGAAAAAATGGTTCTATAGCAAAAATGGAACAAGTAGATATCAATGCTGTATTATGTTTCTTGAGTAATTCTGGCTTTGAAGGAACGATTATTGGTGCAGAAGGAAATAATGTCTTAGTTGAAATTACTGGAAATGTTAATATTCAGGGTGCATTAAAATATGAAATAGAAAAGTCCAGTATTTATCTTTCCAGCTCAAAACTATAGTTGATAACCATGTACTTGTTCAAATATTATATTTCACTTTTTTATTTAATTTATATTAGTTTCTTATTCGTTCATTCATTATTTCTATGTTATGATCTAACACTTATTACTTAAGGCATTAAATAAATCATAATCAATTTTAATTTTATTAAACGATCTGCTTTAGGTTAATTTATTCAGTTTTTATTTATTATTATTAAACATAATTTACTGGAGCTAAAGGAGCAAAGTGCCCGAATTTAAGTTCAGTAATTAGAAATTAAACCTAAATTAGGTTCATCGTTTGAATACTGATATCTTGATTTAAACCGTAACCAGGGCTTAAAAATACTATAGTAATTTGCCGGCCTGCAGCCTATTGTTTGAAGTGTTTTTCTTGATTTATCAAAATTAGTGTATTGTTCTAATATATTGTAGATCAAGAATGTCACTTTTGAATGGCCGGCATTTTAATATAGTCGTTTAAGCCCTGAAGCTGGGTTAAGGTTAGGGCAAGTTTAAGGCTTTGAAGGCACATATACCAAAATTGTGCAAGGGTTATGACTCAAAAGACGGTTTCATATACAAAGTTTCATGATTTTTTGAACAAGTTTTGCGTTACACACTGATCGTTAGGCGGATTGGCTGGTCATACGTTTTCAAACCGGCTTGGGAGATGCACGCGCGCTTTGTACATTTGGTAAATCCTCATGTCAGAACAACAGGTACGTGCGCACTAATTGAAAGCAATTAGTCAATATAAGCTTATTACTAATATATAAATATATTTTTACAAAGATATTCACAAAAGTTAATCTTGCTTGCCTGCTAAAAGGCGACGATCCTTTTAGTGGAGTCTTTTTCGTTGAAATTGAAAATAATAAAAGTATTTATGAGCTTAAAAAGGAAATTATAAGAAATTCTCCTCGGCTTTCTAGTATTAACTGTTCTGAGCTTGCAATCCGGAAAGTAAATATACCTATAGACCAGTGCAATGCACTTCAGCAATTCACATTTAATGAAGAGGACTGTCTTCACCCGTTGAAAACGATCAATGAATGTTTCGATGGTAAAATTCCAGAGAATTGTCTCCACATAGTATTCGAGATTAAACCTGGTATTTGAATATTCATAAGTATCCAATACTTTCGTGATAACCATAGATAAAAAATAACATCTTAATTCCTTTTTTATATTTGTTTTCGCTACTTTTTATTTTAGTGTACACTAAAAGAGAGGATGTTCAATCTGATATAATTCAATCATTTGGCAAAAGACTTGATTTCTTACCACTCGTTCAAAATCTAGAACAGGTTCTATTGATGGAATTTGATATAAAAATACCAATCCGTAGCCAAATTTATGATGAATGGAAAGGGCAAATTCCAATGCTGGATAAATATTTTTGTAATGAAGATAAGGAAAATAAAACAGCAAATTATTTATCATCTAGGTGTGAATCAGTGATTGGTCTGTTATGCTCGGAGTCAGAGTTTGCTTTAACGAGATATGAAAATTTGATCAGCAATATTTGGGATGCATTGAAAGAGGTATGAAAGATAATTATTCTGAATCATGATTCTTTTCTATATAATATTAATAATAAACGAATCATTAACAATAGGGAGTTGCTTATGTAATAGATTTGAATCGAAGCGTTAAAGAATATACTGATGTACTATAAAGAATAAGCGACCGGATCTTTTGGTTTGGATAAAAAATATTTTAGTATTTAAAGCAGAAGAAAAAGCGGCATTTTCAGACTTTGATTGGTACGGCAAGAATTATTAGAAAAGATGGGTAATTGGAATAATTCATTCTATGGTCCAGTTCCATATCTTTTATCATATGCGGCAGGAGGAAAATCATTACAGTTCTTTGCAATAACAAATAAAAAGCAGTTGATACCAATTAGCTCTCAATATGACTTGACATCGCCATTAGGAGAATTTAGTGTAAATATTAGAAATATTTATTTTATTTATATATGTTTCAGAACTATACATTAACTAATTTTGGTTATAGGTTTTAATTTCATCATTTAATATATTTCGGCTACTGGTTACGATTCACGATTTTTTACCTGAATATGGTATTCCTTTATATAAGGAAATCAAACGGAACTGTGATACATACATTACAATCTTATCTGAAGACACGGTTTTAAAGGAAATAAAAAGGTTTAACGAATATATGTAAGAAGCATCAAATTTGAAATTAATTTTGTGAAATATTGTTTTAAGAATTAATGTAAATGTACCCGTAGGGTACATTAAATTTTTTGTACCCTTTATTTTGATTATACGATATTACATACA